GCTCTGACTCTGCTTAATTTGGAATCAGACGGCCAAGTGTGATGTTTTTATTATTAATTTAAAATGTGCGAAAATTAACTTGACTTGAGAGAGAACAGATCTTTTCTAGGTGTCCTAGTTTTTGAGATATAATGGTGGCCGTCCTTTGAAGATTCTCCCTAGGTCGGACATCTAGAAACGCTTATAATTTTAAACCAGTGACCAAGAAATTATAATATTTCGGCAAATTTCGGCCAATTAGCGACAAGTTTGGGAGAAAATAGATCTTCACTAGGTGCCTTAATTTTTGAGATATAAACGTGGCCCCTTATAAACGCTTGTAACTTTTGAACCAGTGACCGACAAGTTGGCGAATAAATTTTTGTGTTATCATAATTAAAATCAATGATGGTGGCCAAGCCAGTGTCAGATCACAAGATCGGTGGCAGCACCTTTACTTGTTAAATTAATTTATTTTCAAAGAAATATTATGCTTTGAGATCAATTGTATTAGTGATTATTGATTAATTGTAGACAATGTTAATATTTATACAGCTGGTTTTTTTTCTAATAGCTATGCTTGAGCAGTTATGATTATACACTAGAATCCAAAACAAACGATCTTAACTGGAAGGCAGACAACACAGAACCCTAATACTGGCGGGCTGGATTTTGCGGACTGGAGAGGACGGTCTTATCCAAGATAAAATTGGATGAAGGTATCATGGAATGTGATAAAAATAAAACACGTATGCTATTGAATGGAATTTAAAATTTATTAAACCTACCTATCTAGTAATAATTATAATCTTCACATCTCTGTTACACGTTTGTATCACATGGATTTGAAAATTATTTGTTTAAAAAATACCTACTATGATATTAGAAGCTATAATGCATATTTTTGTAATAAATAAAAAAATAATAAAACATAATTTGATCTCGAGCGGGTGAGTGTGAACGCATGTCTCAATTGGTTAATGACTACAACATTCTAATTTAACAATTAAAAATTTGAAAGAATTTGTTGGACCTACCTACCTAAATAATAAATAAAAATAAAAATATGTAAATATATATTAAGTAAGTAAAATAGTCGAATGTCGTTATTATGCATAATGTAAAAAACTTTCAAAGCGTTAAACTACATTGGTCCTTAATAAACTAAAAACGAAATGCAAACTGTAAATATTGTTTATAAATGATAAAGTAATTGCTTAAAACGAGAGTAAAACATAACAAGAACCACACCACGCCTATTGTATTAGCATCACCCTTAGACTGAGCGGCTGTAAGTAGTTCAGAGTAGCAACAACGCGACAGGTTACAGGTCGAGGTACAGAATAATCTCCACGCAATATTTTGATACAAACTATAAATTTTACTCAACCAAATTCCACTCTCCATGTGATAAAGATCTCTATATAAAAATAAATATCGACTCTAGTACACATCTAAATCTCAAATTATTAGCAAGCTAGACTATAAAATACGCTATGGCCACACAGAACATTTTGTTTCGCGTCACTACTCAGATACGATATCACACATTATTTAGCGATCGTTACACACACACTACATTTTAAACAAGTGCTTTTAAATTCCGAACCGTATTCAATTTACAGAGTGTTTTAAACCAGGATATGTGAATATCTGATTCCATAGGCTGAACTTTCTCCAACTGCTCTATGCCAAAATTGTTTTCACAAAAAAACAAATGGTTTTAAAGACTACCTCTCTCTCACCTATTTTTAAATCCCGTATGGATTCGGATACCACAGAATGCCTTTGTTAGAAACTACTCTGTAAAAAAGTATATTTTAGAATGTATACATAAAATCATGTGAGCTCTCACACGAGTTAAAGACTACTGTGAAGCATTGCGATTCACTCCGATAAGTTTTACACAAAAGATAATTTACGTTTTACTTTTTATTAAATACAAAAACTATACTGAGATGAACGAGTTCCAATATACATATAAATATAATATTTTATTGGTGTTTAAATGTTACGGCTACAGTGCAAAATGCGATAAAATTTAAAAAGAGCGCCTAGTATGCGTTTTTACGTATTCAATCGCGTTTACGTTAACTACAATATGATTGGCTCTTTTACAGTCCCATACAAGTCGCAATAAACGACGTTAACGCAAGTGAACATAAAAAAACATACTAGAAACTTAGAAAGTGACCTTTTATTATGACACTGTCACTTCTAGATAATATTCATTTCTCTCTCTTCTAGTTACAATATATATTTGTAATTTTCATATTATAAAGCAAGCAACATATTTATAGGCTTATGTTACCTCAATAATCATACATAAATATTATTTAGAATAGGATTTATAAAATTTAGATTTTCATAAACTGATTGAACTTAAAATAATTTAACGTTTTCTATTTATCAGCCGTAACTTTGTACTACATAGATATGAAATAATTATATTTTCTGATTAAAAATATATTATTATTAGTATATGTTTGCACTCTAACCTCGAAATACTTGCGAGATCTTCTCAATAATTTCCACCCAGTACACAAAATGTGCCGTGTCGACCTTTGTACAAAGGCTGCGGCGCACAGCGGGAACACTCGTTAAGGCAATTGTTACACCTTAAACAAGAACTCTATTCTACAAACGATGCTATATAGAAGTCAGGCAGCTAGTTACAAAAGCCATCGAACTTGCTCGCCTGCTTTATAGACCTACGTATGTTTACAACATTTATATAAATGCACGATACTAGCGGACACATAGAGAGCATTATTCATGTAACAAATAGCTTTTCATCAGTAATTTCTACTGCACATGACAATATGAACAACTATAGGAAAATATGTATGTAACATTTAATCTATACCTATGTAATATATAATATTAGTGGGCATATAAATCTTGTTTTTATATTAATGAGTTTGTATTTCCAAAGTCCTTTGTTTGAAACTATGCATATTTTATTTTAACATGTATATTCAAATATAATTTCATCAGAGTGGGTCCTCCATTAATTTTCTTAATTATAGTCACGAATATAGTTGGTTTATTGTTCAAGGCGTTATAAAGGCTTATCATACCTAGATTTATTTAAAAAAATGAATGTATTTGAATTGGTTCTATCTATTGAGCGCATATTGCACACTTGCCAGTACGAATCACATATAAAATTGTACAACAACTGTGGACCAGTCGTGTGTATGAATGTGTCCGCTGACCGCCGCGCCACTACAAGTAAGTATATTATATATCTGTTACACGAAAGGCGGCTGTGGTTGTATTGCTTTCTGTTTACGATATAAGACGCTTCTACACACTTAAAACAATGTCCATTACAATTTGAAAACACTACTTAAATCTAAGTTACATAGCTAAGTTAAATTTGTTATTACTATTACATTATTATATCAATACAAAAAAAATATTTCAAGACATTTTATAGTAAGTATAAATATGTTTAAAGTAGCAAAATTTAAATAAACATTTGTATAAAAATTGTTATATTAGGAAACTTCTCTTCATTTAAACTTTTGTGATACGAAACATATAGGCGTAAGTCAGTTTGGATTCTAAAAGATATTTTTAAATTGTATTACATGTAAATCATGTTCCAAAATTAAAAATAAATGCGTCCATGTGCTTCTTGTAAGTCGAAAGGTTGCAATAACAAACTAAAAATCTTTTATAATATTTAAACGTTTCGTATGTACTACACAATGTTTATTTCATGTTAGTCAACAACAGGCAGCTAGTAATTAGTTGAAAATAAATAACACCTAATTATCATTTAGGAATGTAAATATAAAATGCTAAATAGTATTGTGTCAACGTCTACTGCAACAAATGACCTTAGAAGATGGAGGTGCAGTTGTATCCTGGCCATAGAAGATAATATTGTTTGAAATATTTTTAAAGTATGCACATCTGCAGCTCTATCCTCCAAGTTCGAGGATATAACAAAAAAGCAAGTTAAACATTAATTATGATTATGTTTCTAGTTAATCAACACTTCACATACTGATTATATATAAATATAAATCAACATTTATTTCTCATCTGTACTATAAAATGTTAAATTCGCAAGGATACGAGTTCAGATTATTTTTACATGATGGGTAACTTGTTAAAACCGCTATGTTTTAGTAGTATTCGGCCAGTGGACCTTCGTCAGCAGTAAATTGTTTAAATGTATTTCACATCCAGATCGACAATTAAGCAGTAACCACTATTACAATAGTTTTTTAGAAAAATTTGGTCCTTAGATGGCTACATATCAGCGATAAATGAACTGGAGGAAGCCTAAACAAGCTATGTATATATAGCCAGGGCGGTCACCACACGGCTCGTATCGTTAATAACTCTAATTTGAATATGTAAAATGATTTGTAGATATCTGTATAAAACTAAATACTACATATAATATTCTTCAATATTTATAATCACTAATATTCATGGCTGTGCTTCCATCAACATCAACTAATTACCTTACATTTAAATTGAGTCAGTGAGAATATCCAAATCGATACAAAACTTCTTAAAACCTACGATTATTGGTGAAAGCATAACCACAAAGTTAAATTTTCAGGATAAAACCTCATAAATACCTAATAATATGTTCCTTTACGAGCAGAAGCAACGGTCCACTAACACAAGAGGCTAATCCAACAGAAAATGTTAACATCTAAAGCGTTAGTCACAGAAACATCATGTTTCTAGTAAATATATGCGATCTACATATACCCCCACTTTGGATACTATGTAAATAGTACGTCTGCACAACGCGCCAACAACTTTGGTGAACCGGTGAACATGGGATAATTTGAGGTGACCCACTTGAATCCATAGTATTTCACCAGAATATAAACATTAACGGATCGTGGCATTACCAGTGTTTGTTAAAATCCTATCAGTACTATTTATTATACTTTCGTCATTAAACATAATTTGTATCGCCCCCAATTTTCGATTAGCAAAAGTAGACAAACGCGTACATACATAATCGTTACGACAACGGCGAGCCGCTACTGCATGTGCTGCACCGGCGTCTGGCAGTACGGGCACTCCTCCGTAGTACCCGCGCACTTGTCGCACAGCACGTAGTGGTTGCAGGGCGCCAGCGTCACCGAGCGCGGCTGCTCCTCGCACACCATGCACTTGGTGGCCGTCTCCAGGTACAGCACCTTCTCGATCTCTTCCAGGTCGGCGCGCGCCTGCACCTGCATGGCCTTGAGCTGCGTGAGGGGCACGTTGCGCAGGTTGGGGCGCGGGGCCAGCGCGGCGCGCGCTCCGTCCAGCTCGCGCCGGAGAGCGCGCGCGTGCGCGAGCGCGTCGTCGCGCTGGCGCTCCGCCACGCTGGCCGCGCGCGCCGCGTCCTCGGCCTCGCGCTTCCACGCCTCGCACGCCGAGCGCGCCTGCGCGATGCGCTCGTCCCAGCGCGCCACGGCGGCGCGGTTGGAGGCGAGCTCCTCGCGCAGGCGCGACACCTCGGGCGAGGCGCTCGCGTACTCGAAGCTGCCGCCGCCGCCGAAGCTGCCCGCCTTGATAGCGTGCGAGTTGAACAGGCGCTCCGTGTCGTAGCGCAGGAAGGGCGGCAGCGGTGAGCCGCCGCTCGGCGGGCTGAAGCCGCGGAGGCCCCCACGCGCCTGCGGGATGTTGACGGGCGCGGAGCCACCCAGGAGGCCCTCGCCGTCGGACAGGTCGCGATCGAGCGAGGCCACGAGATTGAGCGGGGTGTCGAGCTGGAAATCGTCCACCTTGTTGCCGGCCACCTCTTGCAGTACGGTGGCGCAGACGGCGTGCGCGGCGTGCTCGTCGTGCTCGAGCGCGCGCGGCAGCAGCGTGCGAGGCGGAGCGCGGGGCCCGGAGCCGGCGCTGGACGTGGAGGCGCACTCGGAGCCGTCACCGCTTCCGTTAGAGTGCACAGCGGGAGGGGTGGCGGCTCGCGCCTCGCTCAGCTTCTTGTCGGGCGGCAGCGCCGATGTTAGAAGTTCGGCTAGGTTGGTGCCGCAGTCTAGCGGCCCGCCCAGCTCACGTCCGCCGCCCAGCTCCTCGGCTATAAAAACGCAACACATATTAACGCCTGATAATATTGGTGACTAGTTATATGACAACGATCTATAAAGTGCTGTCTACATACGTTCCACGTGCGCAAAAGCACAGAAGAGGCCGCGCGGGCAGTAGCCCGCCTGTTGCACGTCGTTGCACTTAGTAGACTTATATATTTCAGGGTGGAACTGTTGTTCGGTGCGCGTATGGCAGTAGCCGCATGAGTCTCCAGACTCACAATTGCTAGGTTCGCCCCACTCCTCGCCGTGCTTCACATTGGGACATGGTGTACTACGGTATTTATATTTTCTCGGTGATCTACGTTTATCCTGAAAAGTAGTATAACCTTAAATTTCTTCTTTCTTATTGAACTTAATACGAAAAAATATTAAATTTTCAGAAAACTCAATTCGAATCAATAAATTAATTTAGACTACAGCACTTACTTTACTATTGTGATATTGAGGACATGCATATCCTTGTCTACATAACCTAGGTGGTCTCTTACATGGCTCAGTTTTGTAAGAAGATAATACAAAATTCGTATCTGAAAATAAAATTATAATTTAATATAATTTAGTATACGATGTCTACAAGCACTGATAGTTTACGTCAATATATGCACCTGCAATGGAAGTATTAAATCTATAAGTGTTAAGTTTATGGACCCCCGGCCGGAACAAAGTTCCTTGCGCTTTTTGGTAGACGTTTGCTACATAATTATATGAAATATGAAAAAGATTTGAGTCGACGCGCCAACTAGTGTCGGAAAATTCTTGTTACACATTTTTCGTCTTGCTCCCATTCGCTCACAGCGTGTAACGCGCGATAAGGAACTTCGTTCCAAAAACACCCAGTGAAGAAAAAGGACCTTATAAGAATATAATATAAAAACATAATTAAGATTAGGTCTGGTTTTGCAATTTTATCTCTAAGTTATGAAACATTATGGAGATTAGTTCTAAGTTATTTAGTGTGTGTTTTACCTTGCCACTTAGGGTCTTCATTCTGTAAATTTCTTTCTCTGTCTAATGCGTTAGGAGCGGCTGAATCTCCATCAGCCATATCAGGATTTTCTAAAGCTTGAAGTTCCCTCATGTCGAGTACAGGAGGCCTAAGGTCCGGTGCACCGTGCGCGAAGGCACAGTGAGCCCCATTCTTAGTGCACAGCCCCCTAGCGTCCGTATCGTGGACGCACATACAAGTCTTGTAATACCGGAGATGATATCTCCTCTCAGTGTCTCCTGCTGTGCGATGTAAGTATGGACACCTGTGAACAACACGCGACTGTGTAAGTATTATGGTATAAAATTGTATGTTTCCTTATCCTGCAATAACACAAAATCTGCTATTTATAAGCGTGAAGACGGGTCATCTGATGGAAAGTGACTACTGTTATAACATTACTACTTTAGAAACTTATTATGTCACGTCACTCGAGTACATTGCCCTATGTACATGCTTGCTTATGTGGTCATTGCTCTGCTGTCTGCAATACTGTATAATCAAAGTCAAAGTCTATCTCTAGTCTATCTATTTATTTATGATAATATAATACGAGTCAAGAAGATGTTTTATTTGTTATCACAACTCAAAAGTCGTAGATGAATATAACTACTACCATTGCCCATGGACACTTAACTCAGTGCGTTGCCACCCTTTGGGTAAATTCCCTCACTAGGATCGGGGGGGTCTAGCTTAACACCCGTTTTCTGTGAGGCCGTGGTATCGTTTCGGTGGAGTTGGGCCACTTGTACCGAACATATGTCTCTACCACGATTAAAAGCTTTCTGCCTGATCAAGCTGTGTTATGTAAAGCGGTGTAATGCTAAATTTGGTTACAAAGTTAATTTTTTTATGTCACGGAAACTTTTTGAGTGATTAAAGTCTGTTTATCTCTTCTTTACATCCAACAACATCACAATTTTATTATGATCAGTTGCACAGTAATCAACAGCCTTTAATAGTTCACTGCTGGACATAGGCCTCTCCTTAAAAGGGAGATTTGGCCTACTATACCACGCTGGCCAGACGGATTGGTATATGTTTGTGTAAAGTTTTCTTTCTGTTGTCCTTGGGTAGTTTGCTCCCTTAGTCGGATCTTAAGACACTTAAGGGATGAATAGGGGTGGCTACAATTCGTATTCTTAATCTGTCTCCACACGGTCGGTTGCGCAGAGTGCATTATAATATACCAATCAAACTATCATACTTTCGCATTTCTAAAATAATGTATACGATATTTCTTAACGTTCAAGATTTATTATACGTAAGTATATTTTTCCTGTATATTTTTTTCATTTAATGAAACTCCCGCCTTCAGGAGTTAAACTATCGGAAGCGGTTCTTAACGCTTCTTTCTTTCATATAAAAACCAATAGCAAGACCAATGCTGATGTCGGAATGAAACAATATCCGCCTATAATAGTCATAGGGTAAGTACTGGATGGTGATTTAGATGATACTAGGGAAAATCAACTCAAAAATTCTTATGGTATTCTCAAGGAAATGTGCGCACTACTTTTATTAATGTGATCGACTCCTCTCGATAATCAGATGAACAACAAGCCAACCGTATCAGACTGAAGTCACGCCGATGGTGAATTACAGTGTAAATAGGTTTATATATTACGTAATGTTTTATTGCAACCGAAATGATAAGATTTTTTTGCACATAAACGGATGATACGGATAGTGATAAATTCGTCATTCGGACATATACCATTACCGATATGTTTATATTACAATGTTTATTATGATCGTGAAAGTAAAATTTTATAAATTGACATAGTGAACTACCTTCAAGATACAGGTGTTCAACGAAAACCAGTGATTCTAGGCGCATTAACCTAAATTTAAGTAAACTAGCTGTCGTTATTTTAAAAATGATGGGACAAGATTTTTATGGATAATTGATAAATTTAAAACAAAACCAAGTATAATAAAAGTATTCCAAGTATAAGTAGTCCAAGTATTGAGCCCTGTGGAACTCCTACTTCTCTAGTCCTACTCCTAGTAATGTATATTAATTACAGCCTCTGATTTCATATTTAAAGTATCATTAAGTCTCTGATTGCATTGAAGTGGAATGCCTTACATAAAACATAGAAAGAATTTCTGCACATGGACCGAGGGTCCATAGACTTAATTACTTTTAGATTTAATACTTCTATTGCAGATGCATATGTTGACGTAAGCTATCAGTGCTTGAGAAATCGTTAAGACGTAAGGAATATGTATATGTATGTAAATTCAACACCACCAAATTTAAAATATAATTTTTGTTATAGAAACTAATAATGTATATATATATAAGATAACTTATATAGCTTAACATATTTTTTTTCTTTTCAAAGACAACTCCCGCACTAGGAATGCATCCTGTGTCGCGGGGGAATTTACAAACATACATGAAACGGATAGAACGCCCAGACTCAGAATGTCAATTTGTGCATCACAGTGTCGTCCCATGTGGGGATCAAAGCCTCAACACTCTGCGACTTCTTAAACCACTACACCATTCGTGCAGTACATTGCATGACTATATGTTAAACATATTCACTATATTGAGAAAGCCATTTGGAAATTTGTTTTGAATTGTGAATATACCATCAGTTTTCTTTATAAGGTTCAAGTTTTTTGTATAACTGCCCAAACTGGATCACAAGTCACAAAAGAGTGCCGTTTGTCACTCTACCTGGACTTTGGCTATACAGGAATTTTTGAATGCAGAACCTTACACTAATAGCTGACCTCAGACATATAAAGATAAATCTGCATATATTTTTTTTGTCTCTTAATTTATTCTACTTTGACAAGTACATCATTCGTTAATATTTTACGACTGTTTTGTAACACTGGCAAATCGGTTATTCCTACGATAAACCTACTTACTATAGTATGGTAAATGCAGTGGCTGAAAATGCTGTATTCATTTGGATGACAATATAAAAAGAAGTAAATGATGCTTAGAAGATACAGTACCATTTAGTGCTTCATTATAAATATATTGAGTGGTCTAAGGAGAGCTCCAGTCACTATAAACTTGTGGTCACTGTATATATGTGTGTGTACTCAGCCATTAGAAAAATATTTAGTTTTTCTTTGATTAACTTTATGACAAATACGAAGATGAATTAAAAAGTTATGTTGGCTGTAATGTTGCTATTTATATGATGACAATCAATTGGTTTTTGCATTAAGTAAGTTGAAACAGGATTGGTAGATTGGTACTTTCTGAGTACCAAGATAGTACCAAACCAAGCCAGTCAAGTAACAAGAAAGTACCAAGCCCAGTTTCTGGACAAGACATTGAGAAATAAAATATGATTTATTTACATGAAACACACAAATGATAAAAAAGGTACATGTATGTTGCTACTAACTTAATGTAAAATTCTGTTACTTGTGGTTGCAAAGTTAACAGTTTGCTCATCGGTTCTGAGCAATGTACTGTATAGATATGTTGGAAGGAAATGTGCAATACCGCTATGTTGTAGCCTAATCAAATCTGCTCAATCAAACATGTTGTCATGTCTTAAGTAATAATAATATTTTCACAAATTTCACACTTGGCCGTCAGATCCTAAACTAGGCAGAGCCTATATGTCTATGGTCGTGTGGTGACAGATTAAGAATACAAAGTGTCACCAACCCTATTCATCCCGTGGGTGTCATAAAAGCCGACTAAGGGAGAAAACTACGCAGAACAACAGCACTGCAGAGAGAAGGCAAACTTGACACAAACCCTATACCAACCCGTCTTGCCAGCGTGGTATAGTAGGCCAAAACCTCCTTTCTAAGGAGAGGCCTAATTAAGGCTAGACTAGAGGCTTAATTGTCCAGCAGTGGACTATTAAAGGCTGTTGATGTGATGATGCTGTGATACGCCTAGACCCAGAACAAATGACCGTGATCATCACACAATTATTTGTCCTAGGTGGGAAACAAACCCACAACCTCTGGCGTAGCACTCAGGGTCACTAACCACTAGATCAACAGGCCTGTCGAAGTAATGAAGATGAAGAAGAATCAAGTCGGAATTATCATCATTGATGTTTTTTTTAGATAAAGCAAAGATGCACTGCAAACTTAAGATATGTAGTTACTTGTTTTATTATTAGTAATTACTAACTTACCTTAAAGTAACTGCTTATTTCGTCAAACAAAAATAAGTAATCACTTTAAGTAATGAATTATGATTAAAGACACTGTGGAGTAATTTAAACTTATACAGTACAATGTACATATAATTATTTAAATTCGTAATTCAATAGCTACACAATTTAGGTATTTTATAATACACTTATTTTCCCTATTTTGCATAGCAGGCTGTTTCACATGTTTTTGGATGAGGGCTCAAACAGGTTTTACTTTATGTATATCTTTTCATAGATATGTAATGTTTTTTTTTTTGATGAGGTTATTGTTTTAGTTTAAGTTTTAATGCTTCTTCAGTACATTAAAATTTCAAATCCATATACATTTTTTTTATATATTTTTGCCTTTTGTATTTAGTTATGAATAGTTTTATTTTATTTGAAATAGACAACATTAAAAGTTTTATATTCATTATTAGTTGTTTTAATATGTATGTGTATTTGAACCATAGATCATTTAATATAGTGGTCAAACAAGCAGTACATTGAGTCTCGCTGCACAGACATGTGAAACTCCCTTCACAAGTTCAATATTTGCAATTTTGTATATGTTAAAAACTATATTAAAAATTCTGTTTCGTTTCTGAAATAAATCCACAAAAAACTTTGTTGACTACAAATATTATACAATTAATACTGAACATAAGCAGAAATGAATGTAATTAATTGTGTGTTCTTAGAAAAACAATACATATATTCCAACTAAGACATAACTAACAAAAGATAACAGGAAATTGGTGACTAATATATTTCATTTGGCACCAATGATATGTTTTGTAAATTTAAATGCATTTTCCCTCCAAATGTTTGTCAAAAGATATCCCACTAGATATAAATACTAGAATTTTATCTTACTATTTATGATTACAGGTAGTTCATTAAAATATTTCTTATAAGATTGCTGTATCATTACCTTACTTCCATTTACATAAATTATTATGCATGTTATTTTCAAAGAGCACCAAATATCAAATCATATTTATTTTAAGATTATGTATGTATATAGTTTTATCATAAAATACAAAACAAATATGAACAAGAGGCCACATCAGTTTATTTATATTACCCTACAAAATTGACATGTTTCTAAGTGGAACTAAATGACGAAAAATACCAAACGTTTTCAATTTGATCGAATTACACTTTTAACGCCGTAAACAAAATACGAAACCATTTTGTTGAGAACATTCGTTTTGTCTTTAATAAACGAAGTTAGGAATGTACACGCCAACATAGGGTAAGAAAGAAAGTTGAACAATCATCATACAAAGTGTACAAAACAACAAAGCAAAGGTAACTTACTCGTCTCCATCCTCACAAATGCCAGTCGTTTCGTTATATTTGGTACAATAATTATCTGCGCTATAGTTGAAAGTCCCATCTCTTTTCCTGACCGGTCTTCGTCTTCTTTGGTTATTAAAATGCCAATGAAAACATGTAAAAGGTCTATGTTGTGTACATTTGTGTTGTAAGAAAGAGGGGCACTGCTCTACTCGAAACTCCTTTAGATATCTGAAACAGAATTGTAGGCTCAACACGACGCGAACTTTCTTATACCTCACATAAAACACTATCACTTTACGCATAAAATATTAAACAGAACTGAAATTACTTATAATGATTTGGTTTTTCTGTTTGAGCTGCTAACAAAGGTTTAGATTCCGACGGCATTTTGGAAAACTATTATTGCGCCTCTCGCGTCGCGCAGGGCACGCTCACCGACGACCAATTAAAATTCAATATACGATCACGTGACACATAATATTTTAGAAAGGTAAAAAATGTAAATAAAGTTAAATAAATATCAAAAAAATACTGAAAAACACTATAAAAATTTAAGTTTCTGTGGCCTTGAACGTATGCGGGCGTTATCTCAACAGTCAAACTTAATTTCGGCACCAAAAAATATATATTAAGCTCCATGAATTGACAGAACTGTCAAGTTTATATGTTTTCTATTTGGCCCGTTCTAACTAACTTGAAACAGCGGTAGCACAGACCGAGACAAAAAATGGGACATACTGCTGCATCGAATCACAACACTCACAATAACACCAACAACACAACGCAACAACGCAACGACAATGTAAAGATAATCACGTAGATTCTTTTTCTGTAGATATGTAATGAGCATTTAAAACCAAATTGAAAGTTAGTATTGTATTATATATGAATTGTAGTAATAACCTTAAATAAGTACTTGAAAAAAGTTAAGTAAAGTAACAGTAAGTTTTTTAATTATCCTATTAGTATATTTTAGTTTAGTAGGTCTACTAAACATACTAAAAATTTTTAGCTGCCAACAGCTAAAAGATTTTTGAAGAAGAATCGAAAAAAGTCTTGTCACACATTTTTCGGTCTGGCACCCATCCGCTCAAAGCATATAACACGCGATAAGGAACTTCTTTCCAATAGGTATAATTATTATTTATCAAAAGTGTATGTTTTCTAATAATTATATAATTTCATGCTATTTACCCATCATACCTTTTCCAGCGTAGGCTTGTGTCCACTAATAAAAAATTGCTTGGTTTAAAGTTTCAAATTATAAATGAAGAGACGTGGATAAGAAAAAACAGTCTATTTCTCATAATAGTTAAAGATTATAAATATTTTTTAAAAATCAATTCGAACAAAATAGGCATTAAGTCACATGACAGCGAACACCAATCAGAAAGTGGAACGTCACGCCACGCAAAACATCATTGTTGTTGTTGACGTTTTCATACAACAGAGCAGTTTACTCCTTATTGTTTTTCGTTTTTACCATATTTTCTCACCTTAATACAGTCTTAGTTGACACTGGACACAGATATAAACAGTTTTGTTTCGCAGACTGTGATGTCATTTAAGACGCCATGACACTAATCAGCGTTTTCAAGTTAAATTTAAATAGTTTTTTTAAATACAAAATACGTAATGTAAATATTGCTTTAACTTTAAAATATAGGTGTTTTGGGATAAAATAGATCATAAAGTATATAATTAACCAAGTTTTCAAATTGAGTCGACTAGCCTATTATTCCATCTTGCTCAGTAAAATTGTTTCCGATTGACTTTACATGTTGACAGTATTTATGCGGTTCTTAAGCACAAGTTAAGAAAACTTTTGTTGTTAATAATTTAGTATTACATCAGGCCTGTTTACATTTTTCTACCTGCATCTGACAAAAATCTAGTAAGTAACTGTTTTCTCCGCCAATTTATAGCAATAAATTAGAGTAAATTTTTACTATGATGCTCTTTGTTCCAAGTTGAAATATTGTTAAATAAACTTGCAACAATTTTACTTGTTTATTTTAAAAAAAACTTGTCTCGAATGAATATAATATATTATATCCTACAACAAACAAAACAAATAATCACTAGTTTTTTTATAAACCCCTTATAGTTATAGTGTTATACCTATTTTTGTCTGTATAGTTAGTGTAAAGTTTGATGTCCTCCCGCTGTATTAGACCGAGAGCTGGTGAACAATTTTGGGTAGGTTCTTGAGGTCCTACGAAAAATTTAAATTTTGTAATTTTCCTTCAAGGATCCCTAAACAAGGCAGTCGAGGTCTGGCTGAAAAGAAGCGGTCCCCTATAAACCCTTAAATTATTTTTTGAAAAGGGATATTGCTTTATTAAATATTGATTATTTTGTTTTTGAGGGATTTTGAAAATTTCGTAATTTTTAAGTTACATATTTAAGGCAAGATATTTAATAGCCTGGTTAACTTTTAAACCCGATAAATTGATTTCAATTGATGAAATTTTTCGTAGTGCCTCAAGAACCTACCCAAAATTGTTCACCAGCTCTCGGCACATATCAAGTAAATACCAAATTAAAAAAAAACGTACAATATAAAATTCTATTAGAAAATTGTCCAATGATCCTCTTTTTTTTCTAATAAGAGAACAACCAGCTAACCCGTCTGACCAGCGTGCTATGGTAGGCCAAAATCTCCTTTCTAAGGAAAGGCCTATGTCCAGCAGTGGTCTATTAAAGTATGTAGTTAAAATATTTGGGTAATCAAGTGATGATTACTGATGATGTATTTATGTTGATTATGATGTATTTCCAAAATCGGCTCGAAACTTCTTATGAGCCATATTTAGTAACACAAGAGGTTTAAATTGTACTTAATATAAAATACTAGATTTTATCTATTTGAGTTAGTTACCTAAAAGTTAATATTCTACAATTTGTAATTTTAGTTCCAGTTCCATAATAGTTCTTTAAGTGGTATGGTCACTAGGTATTGGGTTAATTTTATTTGTTGGTAATCAAAATGTTGCAAAATTTTATTTATGTATATATATTTTCTTATTGTTTTGTATATTATTACTGCTGTTTATTATTATCAAGACTGTGGGAGCAAAATTTTTTTCTCGTGCGTCGTCAAGACAAAAAAAAGTATATTTTTTAAAAAGTGGCAATACTTAACTTGTTTAAAGCCAATTACTCGTTTTCGTTCCAAAAATACCACACGCATCCACCAATCACAAGGGCTACATTTTCCTCCAATCATAAGCTTTGAAATCAACCAATCCAGTCATAGAAACATTGGCGTCAGTTTCACCCGCTCTATTCCCTTCGACGCCATTTTGAGCATATGATCATTGTTGTGCGTCTCTTGAACGGTTTTTACTGAAAAGTTGTATTTAATTGTTGGAAATATCTCTAAAAGGTGTGTCTATTAGTGTAACTATGATTAAGACTGCATGTTTTTTATAAAACCTTATGTTTTATCTCAATTTAGTCATTATTTATTGAGCTTGTGATGTGTTGAAATCGTTGTTTCCTCTAAAATTTATTTTTCTTAATTTTAGTGAAATATGGCCCGTACTAAGCAGACTGCTCGTAAATCCACGGGAGGTAAAGCGCCCCGTAAGCAATTGGCTACTAAAGCAGCCCGTAAATCAGCACCTAGCACTGGTGGAGTCAAGAAACCTCATCGTTACCGCCCTGGTACAGTAGCGTTGCGAGAAATCCGTCGTTATCAGAAGTCTACCGAGTTACTCATTCGCAAGCTGCCTTTCCAGCGTCTCGTGAGAGAAATTGCTCAAGATTTCAAAACTGACTTGCGTTTCCAGTCTGCAGCTATTGGAGCTCTGCAGGTAAGAATTCATAATTTGCTATTGGCCATCCAAAATGGAACACGTACCTTAAAGCAACGTCGGAAAATATACCTAATATCTGAAATGTTTGTGTTTTCAGGAAGCCAGTGAGGCATACCTTGTGGGTCTATTTGAAGATACCAACTTGTGTGCTATCCATGCGAAGCGTGTAACCATCATGCCTAAAGATATCCAGCTCGCTCGACGAATCCGTGGCGAGCGTGCTTAAATTTAACACTAGTTTACTGTATTCATAAATTATTTGTAATTCAATAGATCTAAATTCCATTAACAATTTTTACAGTGTCTCATGTTTAATTTTTAATAACATTGTATTCATTATGATAAGGATGCAGCAGAACTGAGTTTAATTAATACACTCTAATTATGTAAGTTAAAATGCTATGTGTGAAATTCTTCAGAGGTTCTTCCGAGTACACCAACAAGTACTGTTGTGTTTCATACATAGGTATAGCTAGCTTTTGTTTAGTGACTTGTGGTAATTTTACATCTAAGTAAGTAGTAATATTAGGTAATAATGTCAACCACATTTGTGAGATGATTCTGTTTGGAGTATAAATGCACTTTATGATGTGTAAGAAATTTGGTGTTAATTAAATTTGATTAGGGTCTAAGACATGTGTATTTTTATTGCAAAATCCAATTATACCTATGTAGTGGTAGTAGTTTTAGATAACTTATCTGTGAAACTGATAGCAGTGACCTGTAGATAAATTCAGTTTCTTTTGAGCTTCATAGATATTATTGATTAGGTACCAGCAGTTGTACCAAACATGTACCTACTTGCCTTGTTCATGACAACAAAGTATTTTAAATATAGAATTTTACTTCACATCTTGGGATTGATGTATGCAAAATAAAGCATCCCTGCATATCTTAATTCTCAATGTAAGCATTTGGCAGCAGGAATGAGCTGTCATTCCTGACTTGCTTCAACCACCTTATTCACCATATTTAAATATTTAAGAATTGTAGCACGGCAAAGAGCATCTTGCATATATATTGCAACATCTTGAGTAACCTGATGATAATGATGAGTAACAAATAGGGACCAATTGTTTTCAAAGATGACTCACACTATGGAGAGGAAAAACAATAATTACTGTAGATAAGTGTACTTACACAAGTATAGCATATTAATCATAAACTTAACCAATATTGACAGTGACGATTATCTCGAGTTCTTACGAATAAAGGTCTTTCAACTTAACAGCACAAAGAAAACAATGCAGTTTGAAAAATAAATCTAATGACGTGTTAAATTTGTTTCCATTGCTGTATAGGTACCTACTTAATGCATCTAAACTTAGGTTAATCTATAAATTAAAGCCTGTACAACCGAGCTAAAAAAATAATAAGCCCTACTACTGTAAAATATATTATTAGGTAGGTACCACCTGAACTATAGATTGGCAGAGGTTTTAAACCCATCGGGTTAAAATCTTTTTTTACGGGTGTAACCTAAATGGCGGCTTTCTAACTATTATCACCCTAAAAACTACCAATAAAAACCTTTGGTTTTGCCGAGCACGCTATTATTTCGGGACATCAAATGTTACAATTATTGCCTTTTGAATAGATGACGTACCTAGTAACTTATAAAAGTTGTATTTTTGTTGGAAGGATTTCACCTGTTTAGTGTTTTTATAATCTAACAATGATTAGACGCTCCAATAGCAATGGCACTTTACTTTTCAGCTTATTTTCTGATTCAATTTCCCCCAGGCAACGCCAAACAAATTCTTTGCTCCAGAAGCATTCTTTTGCTTTATATAGTCCGTCCGCTATAGCCAGTTTCAGGTAACAAGAATTTAGTAAATATATATGAGAGTAGAAAAGAGTACATAGTAGTTTATTCGTGGATATTAACATTTACGCATATAAAAACAGTAAAATCAATAAACATCCGAATAAAAACCCTGTGGGTGGAATTAAAAGGGTTTATATTTAAAACCGGTTTGAACCCACTAAAAGCCCGGTTGTTAGCCCATCTTTAACCACTAGTGATTCAAATCTTATGAAATGATAGTCTGATACCTAGGTATCTATCTGTAGTTGAGGCTAGGTACTTAATGATAATATACATACATACGCTTAGAAAAATGTGTCTCGACTCTCGGGCAGAAAAGAGAAGGCTAGCCAACTTCAATCAAGAGATTTCCTTATAAAAATAGTAATTTGTATGTTAAAGTTATTTATTTTAGTACTTATTACAAATGAATGCCAAATGCAATTGTATTATAGGTACCTATAGTTTGATAGTATTTTGTAATAAGCTGGAGCAGATCATGAATAAAATCAGTTTCGTTCCAATACTAACTTATGTATTTTTATTACAATACTGCAATTACATAATAGAACTGGCTATCTTATATCCGTGTAAGTCATCTATCATTGTTTATTTACCTTATTTTATTGGTCACTCGTCTACAACTTTCGTAGGTACTATTTAGTGCCTGAAAATAAATGATTGTACCTTATAAATATGCGTCAAATAATAATAAAAAATGAGAATAGTCGTAGGCGTTATTAATAGTTGTTCTTTTCATTAAGATGTACTTACGACCTAACTCTATACTATGATCTTCATGCTACCTAGAAGTTTGTACGCACTTAGTTCAGTCATTTAAGTGTCCACCTTGCTGTTTATTGAAGCAGTGGCGGGCGATATGGGTTTAATCTCAGATCATACTAACAAGGTTGTTGTATGATCAATCTTCTCGTGTTCGTAGAAGATGTATTTTTATCGACTGGCTGAAACTTTCGTACATCTTATAACTAGTTATAGCAGCTTGAGCTCTTAGTTCTAGATTATTGTTTAAAATAAAACCGAGATTTAGAGACACTTACCCACGTTGCAAAAAGAAAACAAAATCACTCAACGTATGTAGCGTACACCACTATTTCAACATTTATTGAGATACAAATGACATATTATTATCTGATACACCATACAAATGTGAATAGATTCACATAATCATAGATTGAAATATTTGCGAGATATGAACCCGTTTTTTGAAGTGGCAGTCGGAAAGCACTACCGCCGCGCCGCGGAGGTCGCAGAGTAGGTAGCCAGAGTAAATCTTCTATAAATTTAACTGCCAAAAGTAATTTAAAATAATTAAAAATTGCTTAAAATAATAATCATAATTTTATTTGCGTAATATGTCGTACAAAGGATGGGGTAAAAAGTGTAAGCACGATACACATTCCGCCAGTAATAGACATGCAAATAAGAGTTGTAGTTTAGCATACAATAATTAATTTAAACTGACTTAATTGCTAAATTTATAATAACTAAATTAATCTGAACAATATGCATGTAAATCTGACACTACGTCCAAAAATTTATTTTATTTATTTATATATTTATATTCGTAATACACACCTACAATGCATTTCTAAAATACGAGTTTTTTTTTAAGGAATTCGCTGACAGAATAATTTGCTTAAAAATAATACCGAAACTAAGGCGAACCACAGGTGGTGTTCTTGGGTTAAGGTTTCGCTACGACCGTCCCATGGGCACGGTACTATTATAATACAGTACTGTAACTCGGCCGCATGATAGAAATAATGGAAATAAATGCCTACAGCCACGCGGTACGTAAACATTCGTTAGGGCTGCATGTCTCCAGCATTTTAATTATATTTGCCTACTTTCTGTTTCTCTTTAGATTTGTGATTGTAAATATCCTTTTTATATAAATAAATGAAATACTTTGTATATTGAATAGGAAGTGTTCAATAAAAATGCGTGTTATTTTTTGATTGGTAGATTTAATTATTTTATTTTCTTTCTGCATTGGAGGAGTTCAAGTTTCAATTTTCTTTTTCTTGGAGTGTTGCTAGAGAGACTCGTTGAGGTTTGAGCAAATATTTCATTTGTTGCATTTTCAGTCTGTGTACTATTTTCATTTCCTACCAACGGAGCAGTTTGGGTTTGTTTATCTTCTTTTAGAGATACTCCTGGATCAGTACTAGCTAAGCTTGGCAGCATCAACAATGGTAGGGCATTCTTTTTTAAAAGTTTTCTATTTGATTAATGTAATACATCCTCCAAATTAAAATGTTTTTCACAAACTTGGTAGGAACTAAAGTTAGGTTTGTTTTCCAAATCATCTCGCCCGATCAGTTGCAACCATTGAAGACGTCTGAAAAAAAAAATACATGTGACACTCTCGGAGACTGCCGCGGTAAAGCTATTGCATAACATTTTTTTTTTAAAGAAAAAAATCTGCGTGGTGTCAGGTATTTTTCGTTAGGTTTTGAGAATTTCTTGATTCGGTCACCGCGCCGCGGCGCGCTCAGAGCCCGCGATAAAAGCTATGCAATAGCTTAAAAATCCTTCTATACAATAAAAAAATGTGCTTTCTCCTTACACGTTACAAAACTCCAATCCTTAGAAACTCCAACACCTACCTACTCAACTAGAATGCAAGAAACAGCTGACGAGTAAGTAACTTTTTATCTCAGCTTATTAACGTCTCCATAAATTAGGTACCTACCTACAACTCAAAACAAAAATTCTTTGGTCACCAATTACCTAATTAATTATTAAAAAGCTGAACAGCTGACTACGAATGTTTTAAAATCACAACCCTCAAACATCTAAATCTATACGAATATTATAAAGCTGAAGAGTTTGTTTGTTTGTTTGTTTGAACGCGCTAATCTCAGGAACTACTGGTCCGATTTGAAAAATTCTTTCAGAGTTAGATAGCCCATTTATCGAGGAAGGCTATAGGCTATATATCATCACGCTAAGACCAATAGGAGCGGAGCACCAATGAAGAATGTTTCAAAAACGGAGATAATTTATTACTATTGAGAGACGCAGAGGAAGTTGCGCGGGTCAGCTAGTGTTATATATGAGTCTAGCTGTTGTTGTTAATACCGAGAAAATGAAACCAGTTTTTAGTGGTATATGTTGTTATAGTAGCAGCAGAAACACTTTGTGAAAATTTCGAAAACTATCTAATGACACACAGACGGTAAAAAATTGTTTCTAGTATTTTCATACACACAGATAATAAACAAATATTATTAAAAATAAAATACCACGTCTTTACTTTGAATTACCTATGCAAAGTAACAAAACACACATGCACCGAAGTTTTAACACGAGCGTAAGTAGGTAGGTACCTACCGTATCATGATTCATTCAGAACCGCATATAACTACATATTTTACTCGTCTTAATAACTTTCCGTTACTCTATTCGCTTTATTAATCCAAACACCTTTTTTTTCGTAAGATAAAAGGAAATACTTATCCATTAAAAAGACACACATTATGTACCTACCTACTAGTAAGTAAAATAAATAATTTTACTTACTAGTAGGTAGTCTTACCTTTCAGAGTTTTCAGGTAATTTAAAAAAACTTATGTCTGGATGCGTTATTGACGAATTCATACAACCAAAAACAGCACAATATTTCCTACTCGTCATATTAACTGATTTTTAGAGAAAAAATCGCGCGGTTATTGTTAAAAAAAACAACACACCGTCCGTTCGACACTGCGGTACAGCCGTGACTGTCTGCGCCCCGAGCGCACCCCGAGATCGAGGCGCGTAGGTATAGCTCGCGTTTCGCCCGTTTGTATGAAGTTGGAGTACTGTATTATAATTGTACCGTGCCATGGGCGTAAGAGGAAAAATTAACGATTATTACTTTCCTGTCATACAATAGTTCTTGTAGCAACGAAACGGCCAGGCCACATATTTGGACTAAGGTGTAGACTGTAGGGTTTGTGTAATTCGAACTTATAGAGTTAGAAGTTTGGCTCTACATGAGATCTAATAACTTTTCGGCAGTGCGAGCCATATGGCCTCGCCTTGACAACATTTTACATGAAAATGTTTTGGTAGGATTGATATTTCTGGAGATTAATTACTGTTTCACAGTTGAAAACTATCATAGTTTTTTCTTATGCACATAGGTATCATGGTTACTTACTCCAATAAAATAAAAGTTAAGAAGTAAAAGAGTGTTAGAGTTTGGGGTTGGAGCTGCTGACAGGTTATTTCCAGCAGTTGTACAGCATTTCATCAAATAGTCAACAACATCATGAAGTAGTAAACTGCTCATAATCCACATAACTTAGGGACCATTAGATAATATTAGGGACCATTAGATAATATTAGGGACCATTAGATAATATTAGGGACCATTACATAATATTAGGGACCATTAGATAATATTAGGGACCATTAGATAATATTAGGGACCATTAGATAATATTAGGGACCATTAGATAATATTAGGGACCATTAGATAATATTAGGGACCATTAGATAATATTAGGGACCATTAGATAATATTAGGGACCATTAGATAATATTAGGGACCATTAGATAATATTAGGGACCATTAGATAATATTAGGGACCATTAGATAATATTAGGGACCATTAGATAATATTAGGGACCATTAGATAATATTAGGGACCATTAGATAACATTCAGGACCATTAGATAGTATTAGGGACCATTAGATAACATTCAGGACCATTAGATAGTATTAGGGACCATTAGATAATATTAGGGACCATTAGATAATATTAGGGACCATTAGATAATATTAGGGACCATTAGATAACATTCAGGACCATTAGATAGTATTAGGGACCATTAGATAATATTAGGGACCATTAGATAATATTAGGGACCATTAGATAATATTAGGGACCATTAGATAATATTAGGGACCATTAGATAATATTAGGGACCATTAGATAATATTAGGGACCATTAGACAATAATAATGACCATTAGATAATATTAGGTGTGTAGTGGTTGACCTAGGTTGTTTCTAATAGTTTGGCCAGCCGCGAGGGGGCGGCGTCCGCGTGTGCCGGACGTCGCCTAAAGAGAGGAAAATTTTGAGACGAAGCCCGCAACAGGAGCGGGCCGGCGCTAGGAGGGGTCCGGATGTCTTAATAACAGCTGTTCCCGGATCCCTCCTATTACAGGCGCAGAGTGGCACACCGTGTGGTTTTAGTCGGTCCGAGTCCGACACACCACCCCGCCGCAAACCCCGGTGGGGTGACGGTCCGAGGGGATTTCCACAAATAAAAAAAAAAAGGTTGTTTCTAATAAACAGTATTTTGATATCAATATTTGTTACTACTGTATGGTTTAAACTGAAAAACATATATATAATTCCATTTTAACTAAATCCTATGTATTACCAACTACATAAAGTTAAGAACTTTTTTAATAGTAAATGAATAGGTCCAAGTATTAAAAATGACGAGTTGAGGGAAATGGCTGGCAGTGAATGGATGTTGAGCAGCGTCCTTTGTTCAGCAATGGACGGCAGTAGACTGATGATGATGATAATGAAGTATTAAAAAATACACTATATATAAACTAGGTATAATTATCTAAGTATTGAAATAAATTAACAAATGACTTTTCTCTTATATATCTATACAACTGTAGTTTCTTCTTGTTTTTCGAGCTCTTCCAATTCCTTAAGCCTCAGTTCTATTTCCACAACACTTTTACCATGTTCTTTATTGAAACGGTATGTTTGTAATAATTGTTCTTTTTCAAGCCCTTTTATTCTTTGGTATAAAGTTTTATCGAATTCAAGATCTATGTCACTCTCCTCTCTTAATATGCAGAAGTATATTAATAATACTGCAACACTTCCTACGACAGAATAGGGCTGATACCAAGGCATGTCTATATTAACCTTTCTCAGCACTGGTGCAACTGTTTTTCTTGCTGCACCACTAGTAGTAAATTTTATGGGTTCATTTTCGTTTACTTTAACGTTACTGCTGAATGATCGTCTCGCTCTGGAGATCCGATTAAAATTTCTGAAAAAATATGTCGGTAAGTTTAAGGAAAATAACTAAGGTTAATATGATGTAATAAAAGCAGTAGCGACTGTAATTTCATTTAAATATGAAAAACTAAATTACCTAAAGTAATTATTTAGGGATCGATTCATTGTATTGATCGTAAACAATGTTTATTTTAGTTATTTTGCGCTGCCGAGGTTAATCAAGTAAAGGCTCGATTTGTGTCAAATTATAGTTGTCATTGTTGTCAAATCAAAACTGACACGCTTCAATTTTTTTTAATATCTTGGCTTTATATATTGTTTTGATATTAAGTTTTCTGCACCAGTTATTTAATACAAATGAGTGAGACTAAGAAAAACATTACTTGTACCCATCTCTATCATATTCTTAGGTAAAGTGGTAAATTTTTATTCAGCTTGGTCACTGGCCATTATTTCCAACGAATACTGTAGTGCATTTCTTGTTCTGTAATAAAATAAGTCGTATAAATACTTACTTACAAAAAGTTTATTACTCAGGTTAGTAGAGGTTTTTATAACTTTTTACCATTATATGATTGATGTTATTGATTATTTTTGTTGCGATATTTGATTTGGAGCCAAGTATTTTGCCGAGTATAAAAAAGATTTGTAACTACATTTTACATCTCTAGACTATATTGAAGGTATCAAGCTTTAATTAAAAGTAACTAACTACCTAAGAATCAGAAAGACGGTAAAGATATGAGCTTTTCTTCTATTAGCCAATTTAAAAGGTAGGTAACGTACAATTCCTACTCATATTACATACCGGACAAATTCTTCGCCAACATCAGGCTCAGACAATAAAAAGTTTCGCATTGCAATTGCTTTATCCTTTCTTTCAATTGCATCTTTCAATTTGCTATCATCTTTGACAATTTGTTCCATTTTTGGTACATGCATAACATTTGGCTTAATTTCGCAGGTAGGCCTTATTAGTAATGCCCAAACATCACACTTATCGGAGATTTGTTGAACAGCTTCAAAAAAATGAGATCTTCTTTCCCAAACAGATGATAAACCTTCAACCTAAATCAAATTAAACCTGAGATATATTCTAGAATTTCACATATAGTTACTTAACTAATTTTGGATTCGGAATTATGACATTTTAAAAAACTGCCCATCCACTTTCCACTTTGGAGTTTCTTGGATGAAATATATTTCTTTCAGACAGTGTCTTAACCATCATAAATTTCATGGTCATAATCAGTAGTCTATAGTCAGAAATTTACGAGTGCAATTTTAATGATAAGTTAAAATTGGTGATAAGGTGAAGGGAAAGAAACCATCTTAGTTAACCTTTTTTTTTTGTTAACACTTCTCACAATACTTCGTCCGTCCAATACCATACTAGGCTGAGACTGAAAAACTGCAGCTAAATATACTTCAATATTTTAAATTACTGTCCGTGTGGTGACGGATTAAGAATACGGAATGTTACCAACCCTATTCATCCCGTGGGTGTCGTAAGAGCCGACTAAGGGAGTAAACTACGCAGGACGACAGCACTGCTAAGAGAAGGAAAACTTGAAACAAACCCTATACCAACCCGTTTGGCCAGCGTGGTATAGTAGGCCAAAACCTCCTTTCTAAGGAGAGGCCTATGTCCAGCAGTGGACTGTTATAGGCTGTTGGTGGTAGGTGGATTTTAAATTACATCGACATTAAAGTGTTGAAGGAGCATGCTTCTTAACTATGTTTAGGATACTTACAGACGTTTTTTGTAATTCTTCTAGTTCCCTACGACAATCATTCACTTGAGCTGCTAGTGCGTCCTGTCGAATTTTTTCCAATATTACTTCATGTTCTAACTTGTCAGTGGCAGTAATAAGAGCTTGATGTTCTTTAGTCAGGTTCTCTATAGTTAAGGCTGTGTCTCGAATAGCTCGATTAAGAGATAACATTGCAGAGTTTACTAGAAAAAAAAACAAGGTAATAAGTATTTCTAAAAACAAACATTTGCTAATTATACCCAAAAAAAGTAACTAATATCTTTTTTATATGGATTTAATATTATTGTGTCTGCTTGATCTTTGTGTATATTGTTTGAAGTTTGTAAAGCAGTTTGTGTGATCTAGAAGTTTTTGCGACTAAACTAAGATCGGACACCGTTTCTTAGTAATTTTATGAAATATGTAATTATCAATGAGAATGAAAGTACTTGACTTTTCAATAAAATATTACACAGATTAATTATGATCTGGATAAAACACAGGATACTTTTAACCGTGGTATACACCGACGGCGCGTTCGAGAGCCTGCTGTTTCCGGTAATTTCGCCAGTCACTTTTTTTATCGTTTACACTGCTTGTGATTTTGGGAGGAGCACCGATTGGTGAATTATTTAGGGTAGACGTGGTGTTTTTAAAACCAGCTTCGATCATTAAAAATAAATAATTCAAGAAAGCACTGGTAACTCATGTAAAATATTCGATTTCGTTTACATCTCTACAACTTCAAATACGAAACGTCATAGAAACTCATGTTTGTAAAAACTGGTATAGCTACATACTATGCCTACCTTTGCAAGCCAGATCTACGAATTTAAATATATCTATGTACTACACTACTACACAAAATATGCTTCTAAAAACTTCCGTCATAACATTCATAACCTACAATCCCTTTTCTCTTTCAGTCGCACTTCGTTGTCGTGTTCTTGTAGCTTAATTTTTTCAATAGTGGGCTTTAGAGAGTCATCCATTTTGTGAAAATTAGATTTTTATTTGTTAAATTAATATATGCCGCATTTCTGTAAATAATTGATAGTAAATAATAATATAATAAATAATAGTAATAGTAAAAAGCCTGTAATAGTCTGTACTATTCTGTACTTCAAGTGCTCGAAAACTTGTCAACGTATGTCAATTATGACATAGTATGTAGCACTGAGTATTTCTTGTAATTATAAATCCTTAAAAAAAAAAGTAGATCCGACTTCAAACATAAATAACAAAGCACCAATAACTTAGCAGCAATCGTGGTTGATTTGGTGTCATTTTTTGTCATTCTCCGAAACTCATCATCAGATCTATATGAAATTTAAATGGAAATATTTTGGAATTTCTCTTTTGAACAAGAAAATAATTTTGAAAATACGTACATAAATGACGGAGTTATGCCCAAACATACATGAAATATATATATATAAATATAAACATCCGAATTGACAACCTCCTCCTTTTTGAAGTCGGTTAAAAATAGTTTACGTGATTAAAAATAATTTTACAGAAAAATTAACTCCGTGAAACGAATCGAGTTTCTTATTGATTTTCTGTTATCTCCCGTTTCCCGGGATATTTGTAAACAATCTGTTCTGTTCTTGACAAGCGTTTATTTTGAATTGGCCTATTTAATTAATTGTAAATAATGCAAAAGCCAGATGCTGATGGTTATGTAACTATAACATGGCCTAGCAAAAATATTCCACATGGCGGAATTTTCCACACGCGCGTCGCAAACCCATCCTACGGCCAAAGAGAGTTATTGAAAGGTACTAAAACAATGGATGATAAAATATGTTCTATGGAATACTTACAGATTTTTGTAATCTTGTACTATGTAGAAACTGAAACAGTACAGAATTTAATTGTAGTAATATTAATCGGTTTGGTATTTGCACGAAGGTAATTTTTTTGAAAATTTTCCCGCTTTAGATTTTTTTTTTGTATTTTTATGGCCTGGTAACAAGACCTTTAAGCCAAAGAATTTTAATTAGTTAGCTCCTGTGTTGCCATTTTTAGTTTTTGACAAGGTTTGTTTTAATAAAAAAAAAAAAGATTTTTTTTTCCATTTGTGACTTCTAATTACACTGCACGACACTCAATACAATACTCGCGAGTATATCTGCTTATGATTTAAATCATTTTTGACATAATCTCTAAGACGGTGTTTTAAAGTATTACCGCTAGAGACACTGCCAAGAATAATTATAATAAAAGAACACTGGAAAGATTTTTTTCTTTTAGTACTGACTATCCAAAGCTACTCTCTCTGTTATTTATATCTCTTAATCTGTATTCATAACTTTTTCCTCATACACCTTAACAGATTCTGTAATAATTTCTTAATCAGTGCTTTTGGAGGAATCAAAACTAACTCTCACACAAAATCAAAAAAATGCCTATTTACTTCGTCAACAAGATGATACGAAACCAACACACCAGCCACAGTCTCGGAAACTGTTGATTCGGCCAAGAACCTCTCGCCGTCGATCACTTTCTGAAATTAGAAGTTCAGGAGCCTATGATTACGGAGGGCAAGTATTAATGCAAACTTTTCAATTAAGTAAATGTAAAGGCTTTTTAACTAAGTATATAAAGACTAGGATAGGATTATAACAGCATTAGGATAGGATTTAGACAGTTTTTTTCGTTTTAAACAGATTGGTTTTAAACCAGCCTTACATCTATAGTTTCGAACAACGTAAACTATCGGATTCAAGTTACAGTTTCCGGCACAGGTACCAACCGTTGAAGCGTGGCCAAGATCGCGAGCAAATGAAAGAGAAGCTTGCCAACACAATGACGTATGGTGATGCCGAAGAACAGCCTAAGCCAATGATCATTTCCACAAAGAAAAAAGGTCCACCAAAGTTACCCACGAACAAAGAGAAATGGAATGAATGTAGGTGAAGTTTGTTTTCTTTAGATATTTTCTAAAATAACTCCCGCACTAGTAATATATCTCAGGGGACTTTAAAAATATAGCTCAAACGGACACAAAGAACACCCAAATTCGGAGCATTAATTTGTGGATCATATTGTCCCATGTGGGGATCTAACCCACAACACTCAGCGCAGTAGGAAGCGGTGAGGTGACCGCTTAAACCACTTCGACATCAGTGCATTTAAAGTCAAGTGAGATTACTTCAAATTCAAGAATATAAGTATATATTTCTCTATGTTAATAGAGTTTGTGCCAGTATGTCCGTGTCTTAATACCTTCTCTTAGCATAGGAAGGATACGACAGACTCTTTGAGCTACTGCAGTCTTCAGTTCCGTGTTCTCATCAGAAAGTTACAATATCTTTACAAAACGGATAGCGTGAAGTGCGCGTGTAACGAGTGTGAGGACATAGGGTGGCTGCCTCACCTATTCCGTCCCTAATTTATCCCGCCTGTTAACGATTGTATTCCCAACGGAGTTTGTTGTTAGTTAGGAGGCCGGCCAAGAAACCAGCTAAAATCAACACGCTAAAGTTAAAATCTAGCAAGTTGCGCTAAGCAAATAAAATTGGGTAAGGCGCGAAAGATCATGATGCCGCTAAAATAATATAAATGCTGTTAGTCTGATGTAAATATTACAATAGTTGTACTAAACACAACCTATATTATTCTATGTGTTTACACTGCTCCAGTGTTTTTGTATCACGACCTACTAATAGTACAACCACTTTTGCATAGAACCCAATTTTTTACGGAAGATGAAAAACATATTGACATTCATGATGTCCCTTTTCAATTTTCAGTGGTTACTCAAATCCGCGAACGCACGGAATGGCTCGCGGAAATGGAGTATTTAGGTCACGGAGCAGCACATAGAGATATTATAGGAGATCAAATAGCAGAACGTATGCGGGCTTTAGACGCTCTGGGTGTAGACAGTGAGTGCTCCACGGCCAGGTCTACAGCATCAGGGTTTAGCATTCTGCGGAGCAACGAACCACTTCAGAAGCCTCCCAGCGCTGCGCCTTCCAGTGAGTATGTATTGTTATTGTCCACGAAGTGCCAGGTTGACACGGATGCTCGGATGCTTTTTCCGTAAGTCAAACTTTGGAGCTTCAAAATACTCTAGAAAAAAATCAAAAATACCTCACTGAAGAAAGCCTTTTCTCTTTTGAGTGTTAAACGTGTAGGGTCGCAATTAAATTTCTTAGTAAATATTAATATATAAAATTAGATTTTTTTCCTATGAATCATAATTAATAATATAGCATAATGGAATATTTCCTTTTTCCTTCCCATTTCACTATACACGGAAATCGTATCTTTAATTGTCAAAACCCCCGTTGGCTATAATAGGCTTGTCCGAATAAAAGTTCGAAAATGTAGGTGTTTAATACGATGCAGGTATGAACGTATAACGTTATGCACTTTTGTACATGGCGGACTTAATCTCCAGAGCATGCAATTATGTCGCAATGTAGATATTTGTGGTTTATTCCTTTAGTAGACATGTCTAACCTTCCAGGGCATTCCTCTACACGCTCTGACAAAAATGTGAAGAAGCAAAGTGTTCGCACTTCCGGGCGAGAGGGAAAAAAGGAAGAGAACGTGGCGTCATATTCGCAGCTGTCACTACTGCAGAAGTCTCCTAGACGTCGCCAATAGTAATTTGAATGACTGGTTCACCTAGAGTGGCACAACTCCAAAGGCACATCACAAGAAGCGTTTAATGGCCTCAATTACCTATTTAGAATTAACTTTTATTTAATATTTTCATTTAATATGTTGCTTCTTTCTTTAAAACAAATAAAACTAACTGGACTATGCTAAGAGTTTTATTTGTAAACACCAGATTTGAAATTTTCTATATGGGAGTTGGTTGATGGATCAAACTCTTTTTTCTTTTTCTATTTAATCATGTTTCTAGCTGAGAAGAAGTTATGAGTGGTAATCATATTCATTGAAAATCAGTCAGGCGTCTCCAAATGCCCTTGAATGAAATCTTAAATCATTCATTTTGCTATTGCTTGCAGTTTTGTGATTTCACATTTTGCTTCCTTCATAGGCCATTTTACTTACTGAATTAATCTTAAAATATTAATCACTATCATCAATAATTATTTTTCGCACTTTAGATTTTGATTGACTACTTCCACTAGATTTTCGTTTTCCTATGGCATTTGTCTCGTCAGATTGTACATTTTCTACTGGTTGATAATCATGAACTGGTTGAGAATCCATATTAAAGCTAGAATATTTTCTAATGGGCATATTTAGTGTGAAAGTATCATCTTGCATTGCAAACATATTTGGTCCAGTTTTGATATAACTTATTGTAGAATATGCAGTAAAATGAAAATCTTCTACAAGATAGTTTCCAACTAACAAATATGCCACTACATCTTCACCAGTAGCTCTTGAAATGTCTGGAGCTTTTCCTTTATGCCTCAGATTGACTGGCCCTTTTAGAAACCAAGCATCAAGCAGTTTTTGTGCTGTTAGCTTTATATCTTGCTTCTCTGCCCCTTCAATTATGCTAGCTATAGTTTGACAATGTGTTTTGATATTTATCTCTCTATTTATAGCATTGGGGTTACTACAAACATCACACATTTTATTACAATCAGCATTTCCCCAAGTTTCATCAAAATGTTCAGCTATCAATAGCCTCCTACATAATGAACCGTTAAGACAATATTTTACCATACCGTAAAGATGAATTAGGCTCCCAACGTTTGAGAATACCATTGTACTAACTTTGAAGATATCCTGCATTCTGTATAAAGTAACACATTCTGCATATTGGCCATCCCGACCAGCTCTACCGCTTTCTTGATAATAGTTCTCCATCGATTTACTTATTGTGTGATGGATGACAAATCTTACGTCAGGTTTGTCAATACCCATGCCAAAAGCTACAGTGGCTACAATGGCTTGGTATTCTTTATCATGCCATTTTAGATGAACTTTTGTTCGTGTAGCTGCTTCTAAGTTGGCATGATAACATCCAACTTTTAACCCTCTCTTTCTTAACCCTTCAGTGATATCTTCTGAATCTTTGATGCTGTTCGTATATATGATTCCACTCTCCTTTCTATATCTCCCTTTTAATAACTTTTCTAGTATATTAATACATTCATCTTGTGATGTTGGTTTTTCTAGTATTTTGTAAAATAAATTTGGTCTATTGAATGTTGATTTAATAAGTAAACACCCAGGTATATTTAGTATTTTCTGTACATCTGTCAACACATGATTTGTGGCTGTCGCTGTCAATCCAAGTATAGGAACATTAGGAAACATGTTAGAGAGAATACCCAGGTATTTATAGTCAGGTCGAAAATCGTGACCCCATTGAGAACAGCAATGGACCTCATCTATAGCTATCCTCTGCAACCTACCGTCTGCATAGCACTTTTGTAGGTTAGACATAAATCTTTTACTTTTTGCAAACCTTTCTGGAGTAGCATAGATCAATTTTAATGTTGATTTACCATCTTTTAGGGTGTTTAGAGCCTGAAGAGTTTCTTGTTTAGGGCTGGAGCTCGATAACAACATAGCTGGTATATTCTTTTTTGTCAATGAACGCACTTGGTCCTCCATTAACGAAACTAATGGCGACACCACCACAGTCAGACCGGGTTTAATAAGAGCTGGTAGTTGGTAACACAGGCTTTTTCCCGCTCCTGTCGGCATAACAACTATAGCATGCTGACCAGCTAGTGTAGAGTTAATTGCACTCAATTGTTTCGGTCTAAATTGATTAATATTAAAAACATTTTTAAGAACTTTCTCCACTTCATCGGACCATTCGTAAGTGGTTCCAGCCCAGTCTACAGTAGCCAAACTTTCAGATTTCAGTTTATTTATACAGTTTTTTAGCGATGTTTTCTTCTCATGTAGCACTCGCTGTCGGTTTTTCCATTTAACTATTTCAGCATCAACTTCGCTTATCTCTTTGTCCACTTTATTTAAATCTTTTTCAAGTTTTTCTATGGTTCTCATTGTTTTATTGTAATATATAAACAAATTAATGTACTCGATGTATTGCAATTTACAGATTTTACAGTAGTATCCTATAGACCGACTATTAAATAAACAACAAACTTAAATGACAACTAAATCTGACTGTCACTATTTTGACATCTCTAATTTTGACAGGTATCTCTACGCCATTATGAATTAAACGCAAAGGTGAGATACAAGTGTGACATAGGCGCAAACGTTAGGTACTATTTACTACCATCTAATATTTTTTTTATTTAATATGTATGGGTATGTTTATATAGTGTGTTTGTATTGTGTACTTTTTTTTTTTATGGAAGAGGAGGCAAAAGCAGACGGGTCACCTAATGGAAAGCGTCTACTGCCACCCATGAATGCCTGCAACTCAGGAGTCACAAGCGCGTCGACTTCTCTGTAAATATAATGATATATGTATAGATAATACATATACACTATATAAACGTACACATACATATATATCTATAAATATATCTATACCAATATATAAAGCTGAAGAGTTTGTTTGTTTGGTTGAACGCGCTAATCTCAGGAACTACTGATCCGATTTGAAAAACTCTTTCAGTTTTAGTTAGCCCATATATCGAGGAAGGCTAAAAATTATATACCATCATGCTACGACCAATAGGAGCGGAGTATCAATGCAAAATGTTGCAAAAACGGGGCAAAATTATTCCATTTGAGAGCTTCCGTTGCGTGTGCTGCTGTAATGTTCAATTGTTCCCCTTTAAAAGTTCTAAAAAAGAGCCGGGACAGCATATGTTTATCTGTTAAGGTGGGCTTAACCTTTTTTTGGTAATTAAAGAAATAAACATAATATTAATCCTTATCCGAATAAACACAATATTAATAGAATTGCTCTTTGCCTCATTAGATTTGAATAAATATCTTAGGAGATATCATAGTTTTAAACTAACTCCGCAACTAAATAATGATCAAGTACTACAGGAACTATTGGTTCTTTTAGTTAGCCCATTTATCGAGAAAGGCCTTCCTCAATTAATGATCATCGTTATTTATTACAGCCTATATATTACATCACGTTACCACTAATAAGAGCCGAGTATCAATGAAAAATGTTGCAAAAACGAGGAAAATTTATTCCTTTTGACAGACGCAGATGAAGTTGCGCGGGTCAGCTAGTAATTATTTCTAATTTATATCTAAGGCAGTTTATCTCTTATTTACCAAACTTGGGTATCATCAGTCAACCTTCAGGTGATGTAGAAATATGATGCAGTAGGTGCAAAAGTTAAAACATTAAATTTGTCGTTTCTCATCTATATATTTCTTTTGTTTAAATTACTTGTGGAAATTAATTAACGGCACGGCATAGCAGCGCATAAAATATCAACAAACATACCATAGCTTTTTATACATAGCTTTTAAATTTCTAGAATCTATTTCAAATACAATTATAGAAAAGTAATAAAAAACTTACACTCACAAGCAAATACTATAATTAAAACTCGTTTTCATAAACGCCATTTAAACTTATACAGAGCTGTGAGTCTTATTAACAGCTCTACTATACATGTGTGTCAATTTGCTATTTAATTGATTTAAATCATACTTGAAATGGTCGTAACCGCGAGGTATGATTATCTTATAAACACTTCCTATTACCCCATTTGATACGTGGTTATTGTAGCAGTTTGATCACAGAATCAATATTAAGATGTTTGAACTTGTTATCTCATTCGTTGTATAGGGTTTATTTACCTTTGATTTTGTTGAAATCCGAAGTAATCATAACTTTCGTATAGGATATTTTAATATCATTGTGATTTCAACTTACTTACAGCTGTAGTATACCTACTTAAAAGTGATAAAATTACGGTTTTGGAAGTGCATTAGGAAAATGTTGCTTAAAACTTTGTGTATAATATCAACGTAAGTTACCTACTTTAAAAAAACCTAGTCATATATGGTCGCTTATCATTATTGCAAGTTGTATCTTTTATTCTTTATAGTTTATTTTACCTAAATAATAGTGAGACTGCAGTGCTCATACTTGCTAGAGGTGGTTCTAAAGGAATACGAATGAAAAATTTACAAACAGTAGGAGGAATAAGTTTACTGAGTCGTGCCATACTTACTGCTAAAGCTGCAGGACTGAACGACATTACTGTTTCAACTGACCATCCGCTGATAGCACTACAAGCTATAAAAGGTTAGTAAATCAACTTTCATGATTACTAGGCATCTCTATATTGTTACATTTAACTTCTTATGTTGAATAAGATTGGTACACAAGATAGATAAGGAATTAATTTGTTAACAATTTTAGTATTTCAATCATTAAGTATCATAAGTCATTTCCTAATGATGGTCTTAACGGCTGGTATACATTATTTAACATAAGCAATATTCGACCACCGTTAAGTCGTGGAGACGACTTGGTTTTGCGGCTTGAAACCAAACTTTGTACCCAGGCTACCAGCGTTTACGACTACTGATTACAAATCAGTTTAAAAGTTTTAGTTTTATACAATTAAATCAACGATTGAATGATTTGATTTAACTCATATTAAGGTCTTCTAGATAACGCTACTGTATTTCATCGAAGCTTCATCACGGCTACCGATTGGGCACCTTCGATTTGGGGTGCTTCTGAGTTTTTAGAATTCAGGCGTGATATAACTGTTCTTGTCTTGGTACAAGTTACTTCACCGTTTACTCAGGCCCGTCATTTACGAAGAGCTATTGAACAAATTAATTATCCAAAGCCATATGACTGCATATTTTCTGCAACACGGTAAGTAATAAATAATATCTGATAGATCAAAAGTAAAAATGCGAAGCTGTGTAAGTTGCATCGCTGCTACTGGCTAGAGAGATTAATTCAATTTTATACCGACCTATGGGGATATAGAAAAGACACCCCTTGAAAAAGAAAATTACTGTGCACTCATGTCTTGCCTTATTTTACCTGTCCGAGAAGAGAAGGGCAACTGCTTTTTGTTCTGTGTATCTCTTGCTTTAAACAAACGCGCATTAATTATTTAAAGGCATTGATTTAGAATAAGACTAGGGATGATACGTCTACATAGATAAACCTAATGTTTAACGTTCTAAACAACTGAATCCTTATGAAAAAAGGCCGTTGCCACAGACTACTTAAGGATTTTCAGATATACTTCCTTCTAAGAATAAATTCGTCCAGATATATTCACATACAGATCCAGACAGATTGTTTTATCAAGAAGTTTTGTACCCTCCTCTATATCAAATCTTCTAAAAAAATTCCAGAAGCTATAAATTACGCTGGAGCATGAAAGAAGGTAAATTCTACCCTGCGAATTTTAACGTTGAGACTCGTAAACGTAGACAAGACTGGAAGGGTGAATATTTAGAAACAGGAGCATTTTACATAGCACGGAGAGCTATTTTGGATGAAGGAAAATTTCAGAATAACAAGTAAGTTATGTATGACATAAGTCGTAGCTGTTTTTGATAGGCACCTGAAGCTAGTTTAAAATTCAGTTCCTATCTACTCTTGATCTCACAAATGTCGTAAAAGGTATTCTCGTAGTAAAGTCAGACATTCATAAAACATACAAAGATGTCAACGTTGTATTCCAAAAAATAAAAAAAGTTGAGAATTAAGATAAATTTTGGTACTTACAAATTACGAAAATCTATGTAAAATCTGGGTAGGTACGGAACCCTAGGCACACGAGTCCGACTCGTACCTGACCGGTTTTTCTAATGAAAAAAGAAATAGTAATACTTTACTACGAGAATAGCTTTCATGACATTTGTGTGTCGAGACTATCGGTAGTAGATTGGTACTGAATTTTGAACGAATTTTTATTATGAGAATCTATAAAAAGATGACACTTTTGACAGAATGGCATTTGACGATTTTCATTGACAATGACAGAGTTGACAGATACAGGTGTAGTTACTACGTGTTTCAATTTGGAAGTAAGTTTTTGAAGTTCTGCGGCTATATTTTTTCCTCTAATAAAAATAAGAAAAAACATAAAGTTGATTGTTACAGCTGTACCATATTTGAAGTTAGCGCCACGGAAAGTTTAGAAATTGATACCGTTCAAGATCTACAACTTGCGGATATTTTACTCAACACAAACTTTTTATAAAGTAATTTATTTATCAACAAACATTAATTTTAAGGTAAGCAATTTAAATTCTCTATATGAATAGCCCGAGTATAATGCACTATTTACTTTAAATCTAAATATTTAAAGGTACAGTATTAAAAATTACGAGTTAGTTTTTATTGTTCTACATAAGTACCAGCACAGTTCTGTAGTAGTTAAAATTTCTTCTAAAATCTTCAACTTGTGTGTTCTCTTAAAATCAAAGTAAAAGTAATAATGGCTTAAGATTTGTCGTTCATTACAAATATCTTCAAAATACATATTTAATTTCATATTATATTGATTATTGAACATACATATTATACAAGTCTTTTAGTTTTATTTCTATTAATTCTTGTTGTCTTGTCTTACATTTTTCATTAGGCATTATTATTTTGTTACGAGATAAATTTTTACATATACTTATTACTAATATATTCAAATTTATCAGGATCTACAAAAGTTCATATTCCAAATGCATTTAAATAAATACAAATGAAATAAAATATCTTTTATTGTAATTCAAATCATATGATAAAGGCTTCTTGAGTGGCAATTGACTGAGGAAAAGTCAAGAATCAGTCAGGTTTTTTTATTATTTTTAAATAGATTTACTTATAGTAGTTACCTATTTTTTTAAGAATAGATTGGCTCAAACAGTATTATTTAAAAAAAACAAAATATGCACTTTGATGTACATTGCAAAACTGTCCGTTACAACCTACCCTAACCTCTATATATAATAACCTATATATAATAACCCTTATATATTTACTTAACATTTACAACACATGTTAAATCAAGTGATTGCAGACTCTAAAGAAGCTCAAATTTTATTATGTTATTAAATAAATTATTATAATTTTTTATTATTTTACACTCAATGTTTTAAATTTGTGGGTGTTTCCCTTATCAGTGTGTAAAATAATGTTGAAGATTATATACTCTCCTAGAGCTTTATGGCACTATCAAATTAATTGATAATGACGACAATAAGTGTATCCTGTTTTTGACCCTGTCCTGTTGTTATGTTATACCTCTAGTTGGAAAATGGGTTATCTTATTACAGCAGTACAAAACTATACATATGTATAATACATCTGTGCACCAAGTCTAATGTTTCAGGTTGCCATAGGAATAAATATAAAGTTATAAAAATATATATATAATAAGAAGAGATCCAGGTTAATTTCCAAGTAAGGACAATTTGTGAGCATCGTTATTTGTTCTGCACCAGAGTGTTATTGTAATAATAAAAAATTAAAAAAATTTAAAAATTATTATGTTGTGGGGTGTGTTATAAAGAAATAAAACTAAAATTGGTGGCATCAAATAGAAACAAAATAACAAAATAAAAGTCTCGGGCGCCAGATACCACCTTAAAAGAACACAGAACCCACCACAAACACAACAAATACCTCGGACATCTCAGCCAGCTTTGAACCTTTTTAAAACAAAGCGGGAGGACAGCTAATGAATACAAGGTGTTAGGTTCTATTGGCAGTTTATTTTCCCGTAGTGTCTGCAGAGTACAATGTGTCTTATGTCTCTAATTACATTAGGTAATTCTTATACACAAATTAGTACTGTCATTAATGCAATCCTTTCCAATAAGAAAAATATAAGGTTAAATAAATTTTAAAGAGTCGCATAAAAACTTAATAGTCAAAACAATAAACTCTAAAGGTAGACATAGCATTGACCTACTCTCTAATAAAAATAACACCCCTTGGGGACCTGCAGTGTTCAATGCCACGTCGCCAAGAAAAATATAACAAAAACTACATACCGATGACCTTGGATCAGTCCGAACGAAATGAAATCAAACCAACTCCGAAAACTTCTCACTCCGGTTCCCACGTGGTGTAAGAGGCGGGTTAGCACTCCCCTGCTCCAGACAATGGCGTGCAGCTAAGCAGCTTTTTCTACCAATCCGGTGCTCCACAGCAATCTAATTTCTTGGGGTCAAACTCCGGCGAGAGACAAAAATCGAATGCCACGCAAGGACATTCCAATAAGAAAGTAAAATAATTTAGGTAATGTAAAGACTTTAGATTTAAGCTAAAAAAGAAAAAGAACCCTGATTCATCTGCAAATAAGGAAAAATTATAGGTTAAAAGCCTATCTCACAGTACGAATCATAACTCTGACAAGAAATCATATTTCACTTACCAGGGTTCCAAAACGCTTCACAAATCAAACAGCGGCATTATAAGCATTATAAGCATTGCCTGTAACCAATTAAACAAAGAGTTAAAACCACAAATTCCGCCAAGCCAAGCGTGAAGCACGTGGCCGAACAAAACTCACCTTTTTTACGAAAATAAAAACTCAATCAATAATTTGATTCTTAACGAGGTTGGCCGAAAAATAAAAGTAAGAAATAAGCCCTCGTAAGACATAAATTACAACAAAAAGTCTACATTTTAAAAGAATCCAAACTGCTTCGTCCGGTCCGACGCCAAAAGTGAAAAAAAAGTGATACCAGTGCAATAACCTCTCGCTTCATAGAGCGGGGAAACAAAAATGTTGCCAGTACAAGGAAAAACTAAATCGACTAAACAATCGCGGGCGAACAACATCGAATATCACTCTCGTCCGTCCCTCGACCATCGGCACACGCAGAAACGACAAAAAATTCAATCTAACAAAACAAAAACGAGACAAAGGTTCAAATTACTGTAATGGCGCGAAATGCACCGTTACATTACATACCTTCCCGAAAAAAATAAAAGAAAGGACTCTTTCTTTTATGCTGAAAAGTCACTACTCAACAACATATCAAACAAAAAGATTGCTAAATGTCTAAACTCCAAAACTGACTCTACCAAAAACTCTACTAAAACTCTACAAACTCCAGGAATACAAAAATCCATACGCCAAAAAGGACTAGGAAACTAAATATAAGATCAAAATATACTCTACAACAAAATCACACAAACCCAAAAACAAATCCATACACCAAGCTACCATTAAGACTGGAAAGTCCAAAAAGTGCGGTTGGACACCCTCGTCACCGACTCTAATGGAGCTACAAACACAACAAAATATACTACACAAACTGCTTCCATTGGGAACTGTACATCTAAAAAGATACCAGCTTCCACGAAGTGCGGTTGGACACCCTCGTCACCGACTCTAATGGAGCTGTAAACTACAACAAAATACACTAACAACAACAAAGTAAACTCCACAAACAACAACAAAGTAAACTTCACAAACAACATCAAAGTAAACTTCACAATCAACATCCATTAGGAATTGTATCTTAAAAGATATCAATATCCAAGAAGTGCGGTTGGACACCTTCGTCACCGACTCTAATGGAGTTACGAACTACACAAAACAAGACAACATCCATCAGGAAATGCATATCTCAAAGATATCAATATCCAAGAAGTGCGGTTGGACACCTTCGTCACCGACTCTAATGGAGTTACAAAACGCTTCACCCTAACTTCAAACACATGTCAAACATGTCGAACCAAACAAAATATTCCTCCCAACAAGGCGGGGAGAATATATAAAACCCTGTGCATTGTGATCGGCTCAACTCCACCGAACTACCGGGCACAATGCAACAGAAACCAAACCAAAATATTCATCACAACAAGGCGGTGAGAATATATAAAAAACCTGTGTATTGTGATCGGCTCAACTCCACCGAACTACCGGGCACAATACAACAGAAACCAAACAAAAATATTCAGCACAACAAAACGGTGTGAATATACAAAAAACCTGTGCATTGTGATCGGCTCAACCCCACCGAACTACCGGGCACAATGCAACAGAAACCAAACCAAAATATTCAACACAACAAGACGGTGTGAATATATAAAAAACCTGTGTATTGTGATCGGCACAACCCCACCGAACTACCGGGCACAATACAACAGAAAGCAAACAAAAATATTCCAACGCTTAAAAAAACGTGAATCCAACCAACAAACCAAGTCATCACCTGAAAAAAGAGTGAATCCAACAAGAAACAAAATATTCAACACCTGAAAAAAAGTGTGAATCCAACAAACAACCCGTTCAACCCTTGAAAAGAGGGTGAACCTTACTCCAACAAAACACTCTACACTAGGTAGAAGTGCAAACAAAATACAAACAAAATATTCTTTTGATGTGGTCTCTATTATGAATGAAGTTCCTGAAATTAATAAACCAAAATGACCTAAGTAAACTTTTGAACTTTTAAACCCTAAATTAATATATCGGTAAGAATACCTTACACTACATCAACATACAAACTGGCCATAATTCTAACACACATCAATCTACATACTTCCTCACACAAAATGCTAGAATCCAACAAATATATCAAATTCAAGATCTAAAGTAATGACCGAATGGTGAAATTTTAATATTTAATAATATCTTTAATGTGATAGCGACCAGAGGTGTTCTTTGAAAGGTCCTGCAAAAGGTAAACATTATCTGAAATCTTCTCTATAACTTTACATTTAATAAACTTAGGTGCAAGCTTCGCCGAAAAACATGCTGGAGCGCTAGAACTGAACAAAACTTCTTATCCAAACAATATCACCAACATCAAAAGGAATAGAAATAGTAACAAATAATATTAACAATTTTAATATATAATAGCAACAAATAATATAAATAATTTTAATATAAAGCAATGTGCTTTTAACAAGTGTGACTCAACTCTAACAAAAAATATCACTAAGTGATCCAAAGGAAAGGGCACAAAAATCCCTTTAACAAACTCAAGTTGGTCTAAACTAACAAAAGAATTACCAAAATGGCGCAGAGAAGCATCAACAAATTAACTCTCAACCAAACATAAGAAAAATTAAGTGTAAAACCAATAACCAAATTTACACTTCCAATAAAAGCCTAACTAAATGTGAGGTTCAAAATTTAAAGCAAGAATAAACTAACAAAATCCAATCTTTAACAAAACATGAAATACAAGTCCCTACCGTCCTACTGTACCTCTCCACAGGGTTACTCTGAGGGTGTGTACAATG